GGCAGAAAGCCATCGGGGTTAGTAGCGACAGATAGCCTCCCACATTCCCTAAGGGGAGATTTGCCTAGCTAGGGGTCTCAGTAACTGCAGGTGGGTGGCTAGATTCCAAATCCTCACTGTTATGTACTGAAGTTCTCACCCTGGGCCAGCAGGGGGATACTGTAGATAGTTTTCACTCAGGTCCGCATATGCAAATAAGGAATTGAAAGTTACGTTCAGTGATTGGATAATTACAGAAAGTTGTTACTGTTGCTTTGTAGTTGAGCTCTGTATAAGCAGGTTGGCTGAACCCTTCAGTTCAGTTCTGTTCTGGCCTGTGAATAAACAAGAGCTGTCTGAAGAATCACTGTGTCGTCTGATATGTTCACCCACAACTTAACACTCACAGTCTACTACAAGTCATACATCTTGGAGAAGAGGCCCCAGCTTAGTGATAAGAGAGCAAAAACTTGGCATTCTGAAGATCCCAGAATCACTCTCTGCCATTTCCAGTTAAACAGGATCAGGGAGCAGATGATACGAAACAGCCTCTGCCTTAGAGAGTGGCTATCAGTCAATGTGGGCAGTTCTGCCCCTGATGGACATGTGGCCTGACCTACCACAGACCCTCCAAGTGTCCCTATTTTCCAGGGACAGTCCCAGATTTACAGAAGCCATCCCAGTTTCCGATATGATCCCGGAATGTCCCATTTTTCTTTCGGGCGTCCCTATTTACATAGGAGAAATGTTGGAGGGTTATGCGTCCGTCCCCCCGCCCCCGAGCCAAAGACATAAGTAACTATACAACCTTTAGAAGACATCTGAAGGCAGCCCTGCATGGGGAAGTTTTTAAAAAAATGTTTGATGCTTTATTATGTTTCTATATATGGTGGAAGCCACCCAGAGTGGCTGGGGTAGAAATAATAAAATTATTATCATGGAACGGGACGTCCCTATTTTTTCATTGGAGAAAGGTTGGAGGGGATGCTACCGCAAGGCACCTTCCTGCATTCCTATACAGCTGCCACTCCTTAACACATCACACTTTCTCCCTGTTTCTGCACTGAATAAATACAACATGGTTCCTTCCACTTCCGTCCTTTTCGCACACACTCACGCAGCGGCAGATTGTTTCCTCCGCACACCTTCTACGAGAAGGAAATTCACATCGCCCTCCCTCTTCCCCTAGTCCCACCACGGAGACTAATGCGAACTGTTTTGTACATTGGAGCAGAATTTGGGGAGGGGGGCGGGCAGCGAAGGCAGCACACTTCTGGGGCAGAAACTAAATGGGTTCTCATTGCTTTTCCTTCCATCCCCATTCTCCTCCTTCCAATTGCCATGGTAACTGTTTCTATCAGAGCTTCTTGGCCACCTTTTCTGGCAGCTGTAGCCATGTAGGGTTTATATATGTATATAATTCTTACTCTGAATATATATTATACGCACTCACACACACACACCAAAGCTGAGGGATCTAATTAAACTTACAAGTACAGGCCTAAGCTCATGGTATAAATTCGCAGTTAACAAGTCAGCTGTTTGCACTACAGATTAATCCCCAAAGCTTCATGATACCTCCCCAACTGCCTGTCCCCAACATTCTCCTGTCAACAATGAACTTACCGGAAATTAAGGAGCGAAAGCAACATCTGCCCAGGCCTCTTTCCCCACCTGTCTTCAGCAGCAACTGATGTGTGCTCCGCACAAATGCACCACGCCGGCATCCCTCTCAAATGTGACCTTTGCCAAACGGCTTCCTTGATCTTCCACTGCCGTATTTGCACATGCACAAAGGCACAAACACGGAGCTCCCTGTTGCCGACACTCTTCTGCCAAAGAGGAAGGAGAGTCGCCATGTGCAATCATGACCCTCTTTTCCCCATCCCCGACCCCCCGAAAATCCCAGGGAACAGGAGTATGGAAGACCTGCCAGTCACATCAGACTGTACTGCGTAAGATACACCACCTGCCTAATTAAGTCCTAGCCTGCTTCTCGTGTCTTTATTTCCTGAAATGTCCCTTGTGTTAACCTCTTTCGCAGTCAACTCACACAGAAGCACATACAAAATTTCGCCGCACCCCATGCCTGCAAAACATAGCCATCCCCAAGCAATCAATTATGGGATTCCACTTTGGCGGCTTCATTCTTACTTACACCTGTAGGATCCTCTAATCTGTTATCATAATCTCATTGGTACTGCAGTCACTCAAAACCAATCTCAGAGTCCACACTTCAATTAACTCTCCTCTGCTTCCGGGTTATTTGTTTGCGGGGACAATTGCACATGGAATGGGCCACATCGCCAACTTGCTAACTGAGCACAGAAGAGAAAAGGGAGGCATCAAAGGAGCATTGCGCTGCCAGAAAGACTCTCAGAGGGTGTGACACTTCCTCCAAATGAACCCCTCAAATCCTGGCACCCGCAGCTCCTCACAAACCAGAACAGCTCCTCCATATCCGCTCCTCAGTCCAAGCATCTACAGCAACCTTAAAACCCCTACAGAGGCTCCCCCACCCACAATGTTATGGCATCGGTTTGCAATTCCACTATCTCCAGTCCCCTCAAATTCCCTTGCACCAATATCCCACTCGCAGTCTGTAAGGTAACCATGACAACAAACAGCTTGTTCTGAGCTTTCTAGACACGTAGGCCTAGTTCCCACAAACGTGGAGGTAAACCTGTGTCTTGACTGTACCACTTCAGACTGCAGGTTCAGGCCCATGTGAGTGGGTGCTCCTCCATACAAATTAGTAAGTCCCTTCATGTAGAAAACTATGGTGTCAGGGTGAAGGGTTCAGGCCTAGCTTTCTCCATTAATTTTACATATGGAAGAACTTGGGTTTATTATTATTATTTTCAGTATGGAGGAGCATTCAGCTCCTACCTGCACTCTGAAGTAGCACAGGTGACCTTCCTCACATGCTGTTTGTAAGACAGAGGTTTCACTGTGGAGGGGGTGGGATTGGCCACCCATACAACACCATGTCTGAGCAAGCTTAAATAGTTTAAGGCGAAAGGTGGATTGGTACTACAATGTGGGAATGCAACCCAACAAGGCTAGGACTAGCAGGGACTGGATTGTAGATTGTGGGGCATAGGAACACAATCGTAGGGTTTGCTGATGGGGTGGGAGCAGGGGAAGATTTCAAGGGGGCTGAGGCAGGCCCACAGAACCTAGTTATTTTAAAAGGAGAAGGGCCTGCATCATCACGATCTGAGAGGCCTCAGTATTTACCCTTTCGTATTTTTTATCTTCCGCTCCTTCGATGAACAGAAAACAACAGAAATGTCTGGAAAATTAACTTGCTTTAAACATTGCTTTAATCAAAAGATTGCATCGCACAGCTGCCATTAAAGAGACTACGGAACCACAGATTATTCTTTTTTGCCACATGTCTGTTTGACTTGCCTCGTGGCCTGAGTGCTTAATGCCGAACGGCAGGACATGAGGAGCCACAATTTGACGGAAGGTGGTTGAGTGCGAGGGGGGAAGCCTACATTTTTTTTTCTTGGGTCAGAATCCCACCCCCCTGGACGAGAGAAGCAGAAAGCCCACTTGCACTCCTGGAAGAGGGAAGAGGAAGAAGCACAGATAAAGGAATGGGGAATAGCTGGGCTTACAAGCCAATATGCTCCCTTCTATTGGGGTACAGAGGGGTGTTGAAAGGGCCCTCCGGGGAGAGGGGTTTGGGACCCTTGAAGTAATTTGCACCCAGACAAGTGCATGAGGTGGGGTGGGAAGGGGTGAGGGGGCACAGAAGCCAGTGGGGACCAAGATGGGAGGTGGGAGGGGAACCAAATAGCTCAGATTGGCATGATGCAAAAGAAGTATTTAAGGGTCATCAGTGGAGAGGAGGAGGAAACTCAGCAGGTGTTAAACCCAACAGTGCAGGGAAACCAGGTAGCGTTATAAGAAGGGGAGCTCAGCCCCCTTGGAACAGGGAAGCAGGTAGGCCTCATTTGGGGTATATGGTGAGGTCATGGGTTCAAGATGCTTAAACCTCATGGCAGGATTAGGGAAGGCCTAGTCTGTCAAGGTGGGAGGGCAGGTCATTAGGAATATGTTGGCACAGAATATTCTTGTGGGAATCTGTGGGTAAGTTTAAGGGGGGAACAGAGGACCAGGAATGACTTCAAATAGTCCACTGTGACACATAAGTGAAGAGGGGTTTGGCCCTGAATGGGGGGGGGGTGCTTCAAGGAGAGAAAAGAAAGGAGTTGGGTCTATTGACAGTAGGGAGGCAATTCCAGAGAAAGCCAGAGGATAAGGTGAGAGGGAACCTGACTGTGGGGAGGCCTGAGGTAATGGAGGCAAGAGCGGAAAGACGCATTTATTGGAACCAGGCCTGGATGGGGATGTATGGGGCTCATCAGCAGAGGAACACACACAACACACACACACACCCTGCCCATTGTGGAGGTGTGGCATCGGGCCTGAGTAATAAGCACAGCTTGAGGGGAAAGCAAAGTGTGTTGCTATGGGAGCAGGCAATGAAGGGGAGGGGGCTAAACCTGAGAGGGGGGCTCTTTAGAGGACATAGTAAGTGAAAGCTTGCGAGACATATTTTTGGCGAGGACAACGTTAGATTAAATGGGGGCTAGCTGGACCTGGGAGAGCTGGGTACAGTGGGAGGAGGGTTAGGCTACCAGGCCAATGGGGGGGGGCGAGATAGCAAAGCAGCATCTTTCTGGCGGCGGGGGGGGGGGTAAGATGGTGCCGTTTCCATAGCAACTTCCATCCATCATCCCCCTTACCTTTGCTCCTGTCCTATCAGTCCCACCTACCCCCCCCGCACTGAATCACTGTCCCAATCTCACCCCTTACTCCTCCTAAGAATCATTTGCGCGCCCCTTCCTCCTTCCATATCGTGTATGAGCCGCAATGAATCCCTGCCCCAATCTAGCCTTTTCCCATCCTTCGATAGATGAGAGCGCCCTTTCATTCGGGCTGCATATTCCCACCCCACCACCCAAACCCCACCACCCCCAGCCATCCCCCTTTATCCACACACTCACCAAAGTGGGGGTCGTCGTGGAGGCAGCATCCCCTGCGCGCTTTTCTCCGGCAACGTTGGCGCAGCTGCTTGTTCTCTCTCCTCCGCGTGCCCAGTTGGGGGGGGGCAAAGGCGCGCGGGGGGAGGCTGCAGGCTCTCCCCCAGTCCCCTTAATGTTTGGGCTCCATACAGATCCCGGATCAGACCCAACGGGAGCCCCGCCAAGGCCTTGGGGAGGGGGCGAAGATGGAGCGGCGGCAAGCGAAGACCCACACGCCAAGCGAGCAAGCAAGCGAGCACACCCCAACCCCTCGTCCTGGCTCCGACCCGACCCGGCTGCCAAGGAAGAAGCCGACCCAACCAGCCAGCCAGCCAACCAACGGCGTCGGGAGCGCTGCAGCAAAAGCGCTCCTGCGAGGAGCAGGGACGCGAGTGGAATACTAATAGTGGGAAGGAGGGGTGGGGGGGAGGAAGCGGGGAGGGGGAGGGGAGAGCGAATGAGACGGGGGGGGGAGAGAAAAGGAGAGTAACGCGGGGAGCGACTTAGGGAAGGAGCGAAAGCGATGGAGCGAGCAAAAGAGAGAAAGAGAGAGCGTGCGTAAAAAGGGTGATGGTGGTCAAGGCGCAGCGAGGGAGAGAAGACGGTGGCAGAGAACTGGGGCGGGAGGGGGGCAGGTGGGAGGATTAGGCGTGGTGGGCAGAATATTGATGTGGGGAAGACCCCGGAGCTGGTCCCCGTGTCTTAGAAGCAGGTGGTCTCCCTGCCTGCGCCCCTGATTGGTTTTTACCAAAAATGCAGGGGGGAAAGGAATGGCTACGTTGCTTTGGTTGGGCCACTTATTGGAAAGCGAGCTCCTCGCGACGCCACCCCGCGCCTTCCTTCAGATCGACGTAGCGGTCATTCTTCGGGTGAGGAAGACGGATCGGGCCGCCCTGGAGAGGCTTGTGGTTTGGTTTGGTTTGGTTTGGTTTGGTTTGGTTTGGCTTGTCTGCTCCAGGCCTTCTTCACAGCTCTCTGGCTCTCGCTCTCTTTCACCCCCGCTGCCCAATTATGGAGATTGCAAGTGTGTGTCGGGTTGGTTGGTTGGTTGGTTGGTTGGTTGTTTTGGGCCGGGAATCCGCGGGTCAGGAGGATGTCGAGGGAGCGCAGCTCTGGATAGATCCCAAGACCTGCGGCGAAAGGGGCACTGAGATGGTGCGGGTGACCAGATAGGAGGAGAAGAGCAGGTCATCCGCCGCCCCTTTCATCATTGAGCAAACAGAGTCGCATCATCATCATGCCAGTCAAATAATAATAATAAATGCACTCAAGTGTCCTTTGCGTTAAGAGATGAATGAACTAGATTAGGAACTGACCTTACACCACAGACAGGGAACCTGTAGCCTGCCAGATTTTATTTTTTTGGATGACAACTCCCATGATCCCTGACCATTGAACACAAGGTCTGGAGGTGATGGGAGTTGGAGTCCAATAAGATCTGGGGAGGTCACAGGTTCCCCATCGGTGGTTCCTAGTTAATCTCACCGCTCTTTGGGCTGTCATTTCGAGTCAGGAAAACAAAAAGCTGACAGGCTTCCTCTTCCTTCCTTAAATCTGAACTCTTACGGTTTCTGTAAGGAAGCTGCAGAGACCCTGTGGCCCTTCAGATGTTGTAGGGCTACATTTCCCATCATCACTGACCACTGGCCATGGAAGTTGGATTCCAAGAATAGCCAGAGGGCCACGCAAGGTCTCCACCTCTGCCAGAAAGTCATGTCAGAGTCTGCTTTGGAATGAACAAGGTGCCAGTGCAGTGGAGTGGAGAAGGAGTGAGAGTTTGAGACAAAAGGAGTAAGTATTGTTTACAATAAAAAGATGTACAGTAACCCTGCAACAACTCTTCCTATCTCTGCGGCTACAATCTCCTGGGTGACGCGGACGTCATTGTGCAGTTGAATGCAAATGTACTCCGTCCATTTCCCTCCCTCCCCCCTCCATGCAGCCCCGGGCACTGGCAACCAGTGGCGTAGCGTGGGTTGTCAGCACCCGGGGCAAGGCAAGTAATTTGCGCCCCCTAACCCGTGGATTTGCGCCCCCTAACCCGTGGATTTGCGCCCCCTAACCTGTGGATTTGCCCTAACCCCAGATGTTGCGCCCGGTGCGGCCGGCCCCCCCTGCACCCCTCACGCTACGCCACTGCTGGCAACCCACACTATGCCACTGTGTGGCCTTCCAGATATTGTCGGACTTACTAATTCCCATCAGCCCGAGCCAGTGTGTTCAAGGTGAGGGGTGAGGGGAGTTGTAGTCCAGCAATACCTGGAAGGCCATAAATTCCCTATCTCTGGCCTAACCAGTATGGAACTGACAGCCACCCCTCCAATAGTATTATTCTATGGGTGATATGACTTCTTTGTACCGCTGCAACAACAGCAACCTACAACCATAATTCCTCCGTGGGCTCAGCTTGTCTTTTTCAATTTCACACTTCATCCTATGTTGATCTCGCTTGTGGTCCATTAACAAGTTACTATCAGCCACAAGCCAGGACACCCTCAGCCCCACATGGTTGTAACTCAGAATTCCCACTCAGCATCCCTTTCAGCAGAGGAAAAATTAAAATTCATATCTTCCTACCTCAACACCAAGAGGGGATATTAAATCCCACTCTGCAGTTATTTGCTTAACAACATCTTCAAATATCTCAAGGGCTATTTGAGGGAACAAGCTTGTTTTCTCCTGCTTTGGTGGGTAGGACTCGAACCCATGGCTTCAAGTTAAAAGAAAGGAGATTCCAACTCAACATCTGGAACTTTCGGACAGTAAGAGCTGTTCAGTGAAAAGGTCTCCATCGGGAGGTTATGAAGTCTCTTTCCTTGAAGGTTTTTAAGCAGAGGTTGGGTGGCCAGCTGCCGTGGATGCTTTAGCAGAGATTCCTGCATTGCAGGGGGTTGGACTAGATGACCCTTGGGGTTCCCTTCCAACTATACAATTCTATGATTCTATGAACTATTTGTTCAGTTTAGAAAAATGCTTCAAAAATCGGTGTGGGAACCATCAGTTTGCCATTCTTGGCAAGACAGGGCCTGTTGTCAGTCATAGATAAATGTAGACCGTATGCGTTTTGTGGTCCAGGTTCCCTGAGGTCACTTTCTGAAATATACTCGGAGTTGAGTGTGGATTTCATGCTCTTTATTCAGCTCATAGTAGTGAGGAATGCAAGTTCCCCCAAAGTGTCTGCTTTATATACATTATTTACACAAGGGGCCCCACATGATTGGCTAATTCCGGGATTCTCCTGTAGGCCAATCAGGTTGCGAATTCACTTCCACCTGGAGCTGGATTGGGTGGCTCCTGCGGACCAATCAGATCCTATTGTTCTAGGACCAATAGACTGCTGCATTCTGAATCCTATTGTTCTAGGGCCAATCAGACTGCTGCATTTTGGATCCCATTCAACTCAGTACATAACACTTTCTGAAGCTGGAATTGCCACCAGTGAAACCTTCTGCTCTATTGACCAGGTGTGGAGAGACAGCTAGGCTCCTAGTTCTGTTTATGTCGGGAGTAACCAATCCAAAGGCTTTATGTTGCCTGCCTGTCACAGGAGTTGCCAATCACAGCCTTAATTCTGCTTATGCCTGCTTATCAAAGGGGCTGTTGTTCCATGCCTTCGGTTCCCAGAGGGCACCGAACATAGGCAGTCCAGAAAAACTGACTCAGCAACGTCCCACCTTCAGGAAACAAAATTTCCAGTTCAGGCCCTGTCATCTCTGTCAAGGGATGTCTAATGATCTCACATGTCCTAAGAATGTCCTTATTAGTAGATACATTGCTCCGTTCCAGGCTCCTGTTATATTGTCCAGCTCTTTGCCTTAATCCCAGAAACTTGTTCAGTGACCGCCACACCAAGCGCTGGTTTTTCGGGGTCACCCCTCCCCTGGCTGTTCTCGATATAACCACCTCCACACACCAGCTGTAAAACTGGTACCCACGCAGAGCGAGGTGTGAGTGGTAGCTGCTGCTGCTTACGCATGGCATAAATTAGCACCCAGAGCTAAGGCCCAGCAAAAATGGGTCAGAAATCCAAACGACCTGAGGCTCCCCGGTGTTAGTTGTTGCTGACAAAATATTAAAGGCCACCCAAAATTTAAATCTCCCCTTCTCTCTCTGACCCCTACTCACCAGAAGCTACATGCACACATTTTCCCATGCCTCCACCAGAAATCATACATCTCTAAGTGCGACACGCTGTTAGGTTGAGAGGAAAAAATGTGTGACATTTGTGGATAAAGGAAAGGCAGTCCTATCGTCAGGAAAGGTGCTGAGCTGCCTTCTGAAAGGTGCTGAAAGGAGCTGCAACAGATTTTGGGAAGCAAGCATGTGCAGTTGTGCAATAAGCCAGGAGCCTCGACAAATTATGGACCAGCCACGACAGGTACGAGGAGCTCGCTTGGGTGGCATCCCTATCTTCACGAAGTAGCCATATAATCCCATTATGGCACTCTGACATGACAAAATGCGTTCCAAAGAGCTTGTGGCTCCACGGCCTGGATTGATCACCTAGGGGAGGACCATAGCTCAGCAGCCTCATGATTTGCACGACAACAGTCCAGTATCTATCCCTTTCGTCTCCTGGCAGGACTGGGAAAGACCCCTGGAGTCCTGCTGTCGATCGAAAGGCAAAGTAAGTGTAGTACACCACCGGGCAGGGAAACCTTTTCATCGCACATTCTGACATGAATAGCTTTCTGGGGACCACATGTCAGTGGTGATTCGAGCCGAAGGAAGAAGTAGATGGAGCAATGAGTTGTTGTTTACTGAATTTATATACCACCCTATACCTGGGGGTCTCAGGGCAGTTCACAGAATAAAATCAAGTTATAAAAGCACAAAATAACTAATAAAAATAAAAACAACAATCCAATAGCCCCCCCCCAAAAAATAAAAGGGAATAGGATGTAAAACCAGATCAACCAAAGGCCTGGTTAAAAAGGAAGGTTTTTGCCTGGCACCTAAAAGTGTATAATGAAGGCGCCAGGCAAACTTCCCTGGGGAGAGCATTCCACAGATGGGGAGCCACTGCAGAGAAGGCCCTGTTCCCGTGTTGCCACCCTCCGGACCTCTCGAGTTGACTCTGGCCTCTGTGCAGCTGGTTAAATTCCAGCCGCAGATACGTCAGAGATTCACACATACAGAGGCATTATCACCACTCAGAAGCACATTCCAGCCTGGCGAAACCATTGCACAGAGCAGAGCTTTCCTGTGGCTTGGAAAGAGTCTTGGGGGCTGGGTAGAAGGATATGGAGGGCCACATTGGATCCCCAGGGGTCCTGAGGTTCCCCACCCCTGGTCAACGCCATAGTAGACACTACTGAGATATATTTTGTTTACTGGCTTGCTCATTTACTCTGTTTATCATTCCCCCTGCAACAGCCAAAGTTCTTGAGTGACGTCCGGATTAAA